CACCGTCCCCTGGTACCCCTGCTAAAATTTTAATTGCTAAATGGGGTGCCCCCTCATGTCCCCTCCTTGTTCCTCTGGGTGGTCCCCCCTGAACCCTCTCCCCTGCAGACACCAGTCACTTATGGTATCACTCAGGGAGGTCACAGATCCACATAAAATTCCTACTCTTGCTTCCGTCATTGCTTCTACTCCTAGTTAAATGAAGCAGCACTCTGGAGCTCACATCACTGCTTGAAGAGGGGACAAGACCAGCACTCAGAACTGGCCACTTGACACATACCAATCAACTTTCAGAGCCTCTGGGTGCATGAAACTCAGCACTTAAAATAGAAAGGGGGAAATCCACTGTGGTAGGGTCAGGTCTCCAGGACAGGAAGCCCTGTAGCTGCAGCTGGTGCAAATTCAGAGAGTATCTCCAGCTAGAGAGAAAGGCGAAGCTTTCAGAAATGAGGAGCACCTTTGGGTGGCCTACTCAGAATATTTTAAAAGTGGCCTGGTTTTCCATCCTGAGCATACACCCTCCTGCAATTCAGGCCCCTTTAAGGTGTCACAATTCCCCCCTAAATCACCAGTTACTCCTGAAAGTCTTGTTGAGAACGAAGGCAGAGCCCAGCTAGTCCATGTCCTGGCTACTGCACCATTACTTCCTACAGTCTGTTTCCCAGCCTTTTGCCTAGACTGGAGAGAGGGAGAGCACACGCATCTGTGAACAAGCCTGCCAACTGCCTGAGGACGGGACAGTCATGCAGACAACATGGTCCCTACACAACTGGGTGCACCAAGGCTCATGGTACTTTTGCAGCCAGTTGAACATTTGCTTTGGGGTCTTAGCAAGTGGCAACAGCCCAGGACAGTGGAGCAAATAATAGTCAGAGACGACCACTCCCTGTGCTTCAGTAGATGGAACACTGCTCTGTCCCTTAAGGGAGTCCAATTCCGAGCAGACACACTTCTACCTGAGAATTGGTTCTGTTGAAGGAAGTCATCTCAGGACACTGCGACTGAGTGAGATCAAGCCAGATGTTTTAGTCCAGCTGTGTTCTCCCATCTTGCCCTGGGCTTCTCACCTCTCTCCAAGCAAAGGCTTCCTGGAGCTCCATTAGAAACCCACCAGCCCGCCACCAAGAGGCTGACAGTGACTGCAGGGGGATGTGAACAGGCCCATCAGCAGAGAGATGCCCTGTGGGCTGCAGCGAGAGGCTACCATACCCCAGGATGCTTTAGGAAGCAACAGGGTTTAATGCATTAGGGGGTTGACTCATGTGGCCTGTTGCTACTGGGACACACGGAGATCTTGGCTGCTACTGGGACACAGGGAGATCTTGGCTGCTACTGCAACATCAGCAACCCTGCTCAAGTGACTCTTGCCGTAGCTTGCTCCAACAAACAGCAGTGGAGCTGCTCAAGTGCATAGCCAGGGCCCTCAGCAGGCTTGTACTCCCCCAATCTAGCCTTAGTGCGTCCACACATGGGCTGCAGAGCTACAGCGATTGCAGTGTAGACACATTCCCCAGGCTCCTAGGCCCCAGCAAGCGCGCTGAGGCACGGGAGGGTTCAAGTCTTGCAGAGATAACTGGCAATGTTCTCTTCTGCCTGCTTCATGTTAACCCTTCTGTCCTTCTCTCTCTCATGGGCTTCTCAGGGAGGCAGGGCAGAGAAAGGAGCTGGCCCAGGTGGCTGCAAAACCTAAGAACACAGCTGCTAAGCTACCACAGCAACAGCGATTTCCTGTCTTCCAGCTGGGCCCAGTACACTAGGCCCTGTCAGCCCCATGTGTCCCTGCTCCCCTTCCAGAGCTCAGACGCCAGCTGGCTCGCAGTTGCAAGCTACCTCCAATTGCCTGTCCAAGACTGTAGATGGAGGAGCAAATAGGTGGGGAGCCCCCTGAATGACACAGGAGGGTGTAGATAGGACACAACAGACACATGCACTTTAATCAACAGGCGGGCGAACGAGCGTCTCATGGCTAGAGCCAGGATTTCTAGGGATCTAGTCCAACCAGTGGCACCTCAATGTATCCTTTAAGAGGAACATCGACTTTCCCACCTGATGCGGTCTTGTGAGGCGCACCAAATGCGAGTCCTTTCTAGGATCAAATGCACCGTAGAAGAGGAATCTCCATTAAACACCCCGCTCCATCAATTGCCTACGACACCACCATCAACATCACCAGCAAGTTACATGGGCCCATGGTGCTCTGGAATCAGGAATATTCCTGGCCCAGGGCCGGGCACCAGAAAAACTCATCTGCTGGTGCCCCTTGCTCTCCCTGCCCATCTGTCACCTCTGAGTGACTTAAAATGCCCCGGGGTCCCACCACACCTGGTAGTGCAGCAGGGCTAGCACGGCTCCCTGCCACACACTTCCCATGGCTGCTGGCACATGCACCCCTGTAGCCCAGCTGCTGGGAGCAGTGCACAGAGATGCCACTTGCCCCAGGGCCACAGGGACTTGTAGCAGCGGTGGGGAGCAAGTGACAGGGAGCTACTCTAGCCCTGCTGGGTTACAGGGCAGGGGGAGGGGAGGAGGAGGCAGGGCATTTAAGTCTCCTGGGTGGCAAGCAAGGCCAAGGGGGCCTGCAGGGGCAGCAGGCTGTCAGCAGTGCCCAGAGACCCTGCCCCCTTGGAGCCACTGCCAGAGGGGGCTGCCCCAAGTATGACACCCACCACTCCCTCCCCTCACACCCTCTCATGCACCCCACTCCCTCCCAGAGCCTGCCCTCCCCACGTCAAATTCCCTCCCAGAGCCTTTGGCAGTTGAGAGAAGAGAGTTTGAGTGGGGGGAGGGTGTGGGCTCTGGGCACTGTGAACACCACAAATTTCTGCAAACCTGTTGCCTCTGTCAGGCCTGGATGCCAAAAACGTACCTGAGTCCACTTTTTCCATAAAGCCGGACTCACAATTCACACCCACAGAGGTTCGCTTCCTCTCAGATGGGGGGAGGGGAGGGGAAAGACGCAGCCACCCCCAGTCAACTCTCCGTGCACCACCAGCAAGGGCCATGTGGACCCCAGGAAAGCAGCTTTGTCGGTTGCCTGCAGAGTCAGGGCTTTGCACACAAACACTGCTGGGGCCATGAGCCAAGGCACAGCCTGAACAGCATTTCATAAAATTCTGCACATGTACACACACGCAATTATCCCAAGTCTCATTACCTGTGCCCTTGCGGCTCCCACAGCCGCTTCTTCGCCTAGAAAAATGCTTACCATTCTCATCTCCCCTGCACTATACTAATACAATCCCCACAATACAAACAGGGAAACTGAGGTACCGTTGTTCCCTCACTCGCCTAACAGAGATTAAGTCTCAATATCAGAGCCAGGACTGGAACCCAGGAATCTCAACTCCCAGAACCGTGCTTATACTGGGATAAAAAGAAACGATGCAAAGATAGGGCCTTTTTCCTGCAGCCATGCCGAAAGGCCTAAAGCCTAATCCACAGCCAGATTGAAAGAGTGGTAGCCATTATGAAGTCACATCCTCACATGCCATCTACTCTGCATTAAAATAACGTGATAGCAGGCTGGTAAGGAGACCCTGTCCCACTGGCACACACTATCACCAGCGAAACAGGGGTAGGGAACTTAAGGCACAGGGGCTGGATTTGGCCCCTAGTTTGCCTGGATCCGGCCCCGAGGCTCAGGGCTCCCCCCACCATTGGGGAACCCACGCTGGCGCTCCACCCCTGCAGCACCCCTGTGGAGCTGGAGCCCACAAAATCAACTGGCCTGGGCCCCCCAGGCTCTGGTGCGTGAGGGGAATGTGGGGAGTGTCTTCCCTCCCTCTCAGTCAGGGGCCATGTCAGTCAGGGTTGTTTTTTTTTATTGGCGGGGGCAGGGGGTTGCTTCTCACTTGTGTGCAGCCCCCAACTGATTTTTCTGTGGGTCAGCAGCCCCCCGACCCAAAAGAGGTTCTCCACCTCAAGAAACAGAGCAAGAGGATAACCTACGGTGTGTGAATGACAGAACTGCGTGGCTAACAAAGCTAGCTCTTGGGGACACCAGTATACTTCAACCAAGAGAAAGCAGAGACCCACCCCTCCTCCCCACGGCGGCAGGGATACGCTTTGTTCACTGAGGCGCTCTGCAGCATGAAATTTAAACACATTCTAGGAGCAGCAAAGCAATCACAGAAGCTCCACCAAATCTTCAAAGCCACCCCTGAGGAGACAGAGATGACAATCAATATTGCACAACAAATTTGCGCCCAAGGCATGCGATTAAATGAACTGCCTTCCCTTCCCACCCTATTCAAGTTCTCTTTGGGAGGAGCCACATGGCAGAGCAGTCCCTCTGAAAGTCACTGTTGCTGGCTCTTCCTAACCCCCCCCCCCCCTCCCTCCCAACGTCAC